TATGTGCAAGTATATTGTTAGTATGTGCTTTTTTTAATTTATGAATGTGCAGCCTACCTGCCAGATACTTTTTATTATCTCCTTTATCACTAACCTTGAAGTATGATGTCTGTAAATGTGTACCCCATTGTAACTTCACATGCAGGGGCGGATTGGCCATCTAGCAATTCTGGCAAATGCCGGAAGGTCTGGACAGTTTTTTGTAAATGTGGGCTGGTCAGTTTTTTTTATTTTATTTGTATGTGTATTTTATTTTTATATGTATTGTTTTTTACATGCAGGTAGCTTTAATCTCTTGCAAAATGTAAATATTATGATGATCATGATGATGATGATAATAATAATAATCGAAATAATAATAATAAATGTTAAGCATTTAGCCCAATCAGTAACGGCTGGCTGGTTGTGTAATGGGCCGACCCAATCAGAGGTTACGCGGACATAATCAAAATCTGCCAACAATGTCAAACAAACAGTAAGTACAACACAAGCTAATTGTCAGAGATGGGATCAAGCTAAAATCTAAAATCAAGCTAATGCATAAAAATGCATAAAATTAACTGAAATATTTTGTGTGTATGGGTGTTTCCCAGTGATGGGTTGCAGCCGAAAGGACATCCGCTGTGTAAAACAACTTATCCATATGCTGGATAAGTTGGTGGTTCCGTTATGGCAATCCCAGATTAATAAAGGGACTAAGCCGAAAATAAAATAAATGCATGTATAAATTTGTTAAAAAATGGGTTGTTTTTGTTCCAGTCACATACATTAAATGTTTAAATATATATATTACATTTAGTACTGCTTGTATTATTTCACTATTTGTACACTAATATAAGTAGTGGATGTCAGTGTCTGTGGGTGGAGCTGTGTCGGTGTGGTAATGTGGGCTGGTGTGGCTACAGTGCCAGGGCTGAATTTTTTGTCCCCTGTTCACATATGTAAATATATAGTCTCAAATACCAAGTACGTATCGCTGCAGCCCAGAGACCGCAAGTGGGAGGGATTACACCGCAAGTACGATGGGTGACCTCCAAGTGGGAGGAACGTAAACAACAAGTAGGTAAGGATTAAGTGGTATAGGTGGAGTATAAATAAAACACATCCGGTTACAGTAAGGTTTGGTTTAGGGTTGGGGTAGGTGTAAATGTTAATAAAACACATCAGGTTACTGTGAGGTTGAGTTTATAGTTGGGATAGGTGTAGACGTTAAAAAAGCACAATATTGGACTCTGACATGCACAAGACATTTGTACAGCCCACTTTGAGCTCAAGTCCCACCCACTTGGAACTGGCTCCGACCTCCGTTTATACCCTTCTCTCAAATATAGCAATTGTATTGGCTGTTGGGCTTGTTTATGCACTGACACACACAGTTAAATTTGATGTGTCACATTTAAAAACTTGTCGCCATAATTGCTTTCTGTAATCTATTTGTATTAAAGCCTGCTGTGATCTGACAAAGCAATGAAGGCATGAGTGCTTGTGCACCCTGGGTGTCATAGAAAAAGTATTCAGCATTTACACCAACTGCATCTCACTGAATCAAGATTGTGAAAGGTGAAAGGCAGTAAAAAAGGTGACCATTTTGCCAATGTAATGAAAGCATCTTGAAGCTAAAACTTTACTTAATAAGGATAATTTTTTAACAATAAACATGTTTACATACATTAGCACTGCAGGCAGCCAAAGCTGATGATCCAGCAGAATAGGATGCACTAAAGCAAATAATTCAGCTGCTTTACAAAAAATGTGCTCATGAGAATGAGTGCCGGTGATAAATATTTCATGGTGTAATATTTCAATTTCATGTTTAATTATAAAACACATGATGTTTGCTTTATCGTTATCACATATCACATGTGTGTTTTGTGCAAACAGTAACAGCAGTAAGGCTGCAATATAAGTAAATGCGAACAGGGGCGGACTGGGACAAAAATTCAGCCCTGGCACTGATGCCACATGAGCCCAAATTACCACACCGACACAGCCCCACCCACGGACACGCACATTCACTATTTATTTTGGTGTAAAGATGGTGAAATAATATGACATTTTTGCCAGATTTTGATAATCTCCGGGTAACCTTGGATTGGGTCGGCCCATCTTGAAACCAGGCAGCAGTTGCCGATTGGGCCAAATGCTTAACATTTATTATTATTATTATTTTTATTATCATCATCATAATATCACATCTAGCAAGAGATTAAAGCTGTCTGCATTTAAAAACAATACATATTTTTAAAAAAAACGTCCGCCCCTGAATGTGAAGACTGAGTTTGAATGATTATCAGATGCCAATGTAATATGGTTGACATGGTAAGGCCATGACACTATTGCCACAATAACGACACCTTGTGGTTATTTTGATACAACAGCTCATTTTACTTCCCTTGTGGTGCATTTTATGTGCACTCAGCATTCGTTTCAGAATGTCTACAATCTATGGTAAGAAGCTAAAAAAAAAATAACACTGGAAAAAATAGACTTTTTGGTCTGAAAAAAACAAACAAACAGAAATTCACCCTGTTTTATTTGTTTGTCATTTTAGTTAAAATCATTATGACTATGTTTCACTTGTATACTGTCGATTTAGGTAGGTGCTGTAAGAAAAGATGGATTATGAGTCTGTCGTTACTGGACTCGTGAATGAGAGATTAACATGCTACTGCTTCTCCAATAAGGTAGGAAATTAACAGAGGTGGGTAGTAACGAGTTACATTTACTTAGTTACATTTACTTGAGTAAAATTATTAGGTAACGTGTACTTTTTGAGTACATTAAAATGTGTACTTTTACTCTTACACAAGTAAATTATTAGAGAAAAATCCTTACTCTTACTTCGCTACATTTCACGGTGTTCCTCCGTTACTGTTAAATGATAATAAAAATGATCAGTCTGTTTCAGCACTTTTTTACTCTAACTCGAGTAACTTTTAAGATTGTTACTTTTACTTTTACTTGAGTAAAAATTTCCGCAAGTACTTGTACTCTTACTTGAGTACAGATTTTGGATTCTCTACCCACCTCTGGAAATTATTAAACATGACAGGAATGTGGATGATGTGTGGATAATTGACACGGCTCACCATAACTAAGAAATGATCTGTTAACGAGGAGGTAGTATGTCTCAAAGCTTGCATTCTCTTCTGTAACACACTCAAAAGTATTTATTTTTCCTTCGCAAAATGTACATACTTTTAGGGCGTAGTATGTGAAGTGTTTAATTGGGGTTGGTGCAAAACTGTGCAGAGCTAAGGCCCTCTAGAAATTGAGTTTGGGACCTAAGATTTACATGGAGGGCTATTTTTAAGCTGTTCTGCAGCCAGCCACCAGAGGGCGATGAAAACTTGTTTTTAGGATGTGCACACAAGGGTAAGCAAGAGTACACCATGACCCCATTGTGCTAAACCATTTTAGATCAGTTGAACTAAAGGAAGGTAACGAATTGTACAAAGTAATATGTTATGAGCTATTTATACTGAAAGACTAGGCCTTCTCTTGGATCTTTTTTAGAGGAGCCATGATATCAAGTCATAATCAAAATATCATGAAAAGTTTGATTTATAGCATTTATTTAACCCTTTGATGCACTACATGGGTCTAAAGTGACCCGTCTAAGTTTTTTTCTCTATTTTATAGCTTGCGCATCAAAGGGTTAACACCAGTCTATTTCAATAAGATTTTTCCAATTGGTACTGTGATGCATTTATTCTGGGACTGGGACATGGTACAAGGCAGACTGGATAGAGATCCATTAAATGGTTCAGAGGATTGTTGGGAAATCTTTTGCCCTATCCCCAAGTATTTATCATTAAATGTAAAGCTGAATTACACCTCAGTCATGGCCTAGGATCTGTTACATTTTGTATAATTTTGCAAATATGGCTTTTTGCAAGATAATATACTTTAGTTTCTTCCAAAAGTATGTGGTTGAATCAGATTTCTATCTTCTTATACCCTTAGGGAAAAAAATACTTTTTAGTTTATGTCAGAGATGAGAGGTCTGACTACTTTTGTCATATCTCCTCTTTGGGACTTTTGGGATTGAAGACTTAATGACTATTACTTTTGCTAGTCACCCTTTACTGAATGTTTGAAATGCTTTGGTTATCATGGTTGATAATGATTGGTTGTATGATTGTATATGATGACATGATAAATATAAATTACTAATTGTCAGTTATTAGCCAAAATAATTAGAATTTCTTTATGCTGTTACTCAACTCTATAGCTCAATGTTGCAGTCCTTAACACTTGTCACCACCTACTGGCAGTGTTAGCTCATATTCATTGCATCATTTTATCAGTGATCACGGTGCTACAACCCTGATAATATGTTGATTCAACGATCCATTTGTTAAGTCAAACGTTTGCTTCATTCTTGAAAAAATCATGCATCTCAGTGAACGAAATGACTGGCTCAATGACTCACTTATTAAGAAATGTTTAAGTCATCTGCTGCCACCTACTGGCAGTTTATTTGATCTTTTAAAGGATGACATTTTTTTAAATATTTAATGATTCTTTACATTTTAAATTTAATTTAGAAAAACCTGATTGTAAAAAGTATAGTTCAACATTCTTCATAATACTGCCCAAATCCCAATTTTAAAACATTACAGGACAGAAATACAGTATATAAATTTCCATTTTCAAATTGAAAATGTGATGTGTTCTACTGTTATCAGCAAGTATTGGATCCGTTAGAAAATACAAAAGCATTAAAAAAAATTAGGCAACATTTTATGCAAGTGCCACTGTCCATTTGCCTTGTATTTTAGTAGGAATAATGCATTAAAATAACAAAGCATTAAGCTTTTTGTTATGCCATTGGTTTATAAACAAGAACCAATATAATGGTTCAGTTTTGATTTTAAATTCAATAAAAAAGAAATCCAGTTGTATTTTCATTTACCTTTTTCCTATGTATATCACATTGTGGACTTGGACTCAACAAAGGTGAACTCGAAAGTAAAATAAATAATCATAAACTGTAGCCATTTTGCTTCTGTTTTATTGTACTGCAGTTTTACAGCATTAATGAGACAGACCTCATAGATACAAGATTAATGCAAGCACAAATGAAAATGTTATATATCAAAGTAAAAACAGATATTAAAAACCAATATGTATATCTGGCGGTACTATTTCATATTATTATGTAAAAGATTTTTTAAAATGTATGTACAGCAAAGAAAGATACCGAAAAAATAGAACATCATACAGTAAATATCAAGAAAGCATTACTAAACAATACATAAAAAACTCCAAAGCATAATGAATAATATAAAAAAGTAAAAAATATATATAAAAAAGTAAATATTAAAAATATATAAACTTCAGCTTCCCACAATTTTTCAAAATCATTATCCAGTTGAGTAATTGAAAGTGATCTATTTTAACGTAATATAACTTTGATCTCTGTCCAAAGTCGCAGGCAATCAATATGCTTGAGAAAGCTAAACAGTTGAAAACCTATGGTAGCTGCCACATGTGAAGAGCTTAAACATCTAAATTCATGTTTTAAAACATTCTGCGTATTAATCAGCACAGTCTCGACATTAAAAACTGGCTCAAACCACGTATAATAACGATGTTTATTAAAACTAAAGTAACATTAACCTCCAAAACAGAAGTTGACGATGTTGTATGATTGTTTTAGCCATTGATTTTATTCCTCTGTTGTCAGAGGACAGCTGTGTTTGGAGTCTTAGAGTGAAATAGATAGATCGTCTATCTAAACATGTCTACATTTTTTCTCTATAGCGAAAATTTCAAAATGATCAATATTACACACATTTTAACCAAAAACACCTCAACAAAACATTCACAACACTTCGATCACATGAGTGTGACGAAAAAAAAAGATAAAGTCTCTAATAACTACATTTTCATCTTAGACCGTTGTCCTAATTGTAATTATTAGGGTCGTTTTTTAATCACAAAGGACTCTATTTGAATTTTGTGTATGTCATAATAATAGAAATGGAACATACTCGTATAAGATATGTGACTGAAAGAACTAAATTAGAATGAGAGACAAAATATGACAACTTGAAATGGTACATACTGTATCATCGAGACCAAGTATGTGTCTTGTAACACTTTAAAATACTGTGTATTTTGTATGACATGCCATTTACCCAATCTGTGTACACTAATGTCAGTTGTAGTTCCAGTTGAGCTGGATTAGACCTGGATTTTTTGAAGTAGGTGATTTTTTAGTTCCCTCAATGGTGATTTCTATAACTAAAATCATTCCCAATTCCTGCTGGGTAAACACATCAAAATTAGGGTACTTATGCCATTAGCTCTAATACTTTTTTCTGACTTTTTTCCTTTTGTTAGTCATTGTCATTGGTGTGAACGACAACGCCTGAGTTCTTGATTCCTCTTGCATAATACAACAATGTTTGTTAACAATTACAGGAAAAGATACTGTAATGGTCTGATGGCATTTGATGCTTCAGAAAGCAGATGTGTGGGAAGTGTCCACCGACTCTGACCATCCCGAGCTCTTCCGAGAAACCAGGCCTGCGCGGCCCTTCAGCTTGAAGCCCAGAGGTCGTAGCATGTCTAGCAGGTGCTGACGAAATTTCACCCCCACAAAAGCATAAAGAATTGGGTTGACACAGCAGTGCATGTAGGCAAATGTTGAAGTGGCTGTGATCGCAACATCCAACGTGGTTCTGGTCTCGCAGGACGTTTGGTTATTGTCAGTCCTGTTGGTATGTATGGTGTCAGCCATGAGGGCGATGTTGTAGGGCGTCCAGCTGATGAAGAAGGCCAGTACCAGGGCTACAATGACATGGATGGCCCTCTTCTTCTGCATGCACTTGGAGCCGAGCAGTAAGCGCAGCAGAATGCTAGTGTAGCAGAAGACCATCATTATTGCTGGAATAATGAAACCCAAAAAATGATAGATCAGACGATTGACCAGAACCCAAAAATCAGATAGAGCTTCTGAATTAACACATTCTGTTCTATCCTGACGTCTGGAGTCCTTGTTGGCACCAAGTAATATCCAATCGGGAATGGAGAGCAGAAAGCAGAAGAACCAGACTATCATGCAGCAACAGTGAACCGCCATGGGCTTTTTACGGGAGTACATTTGGACTGCATGGACGATGGACAGGTAGCGGTCGAGACTGATGCAGGAAAGCATGTAAATGCCACAGTAGAAATTGATCTGATGAAGAAAGATGCAAATGAAGAGATGTGATTTGAGATGTGAGTACATATTTAAAGGAACAGTTCACACAAAACACTTTTGATATTACCAAAGGAGTTTATGCTGAAAAAGGTTGTTCCAAATCATAAGCACACTAAAAATACCGTTCTATTGACCTTATTCTAAAATGCGGAAGTGCACCTGTTTTCGCTATTGTTTTAGAACTTCCAATTTAGTCGCCGATGGGAGAATTGACTAGGGATAATAAACGGCAGAAAACGGTCAAACTACTTGCTCTACAAACAAATGTTTGCATGACTATACAGACCAAGTAGAATAAAATAATAAGAAAATATCAGTTTGCAACATCAAACAGCGAAACGAGCAGTTTTTAATGTCTAAAAATTAATGGAAGTGAATGAGACCGGAAGTCTCAAGCCAAAAAGATTTAAATGGCTGCGCCCACTCGTCGGTGAAGGATAAGGTAAATAGCAACGATGCAACAGGCACGTGTGTCCTGGTGCTCTGCTTTCTTTGAAGTAATAATCTTTTTATTTTTTTTTAAATCTTTTTATTTTAATCTATTTATTTTTTTTTATTTGAAGGTTGGGCTTTTGCCTGTAAAAACAAACCTCGAAGAGGTTCTTTAAAGTAAAAACAAAGGCTCAATTAAGTGTAATTCTATTCTAAAAGCAGATGTCGTTTTTTATTAATTCTTTGGTTTGTTAAAAATGCTATATAAACATGATGTTACTTTACAGAATTCTACAACTTATTCAAACATCTACATTGTTTATATCAGATGCTTTATTTATTTACCATTTTCTAACTGCTGTAATTTTAGTTGCTCAGAGGAAAGTCATAACTCATACCCACATATTCATATAATATTACCTTTCATTAGTGTGAGTGGCTCAAGAATTGTTAAGAGTTTATTGCTGCTTAGGGATTTAGAATGTTTTAAACATAAAAAGGAGCAAAAAAGCACTTTGCTGTGAGCATAAGAGCCTTTAAACTTATAACATCACTGTTGAAACATCACTTAAAGATGTCAGCTTTTTTACAGATAATAAAATTGGTAACACTTTACAATAACAGTACATGTATAATGATGTATTAATATGTTAACTAAACATTACTTTTTTATGAATTAATGATGAGTTAAAGTATGCACTAATCATGGATTAACTTTAACTACATCATGAGTCACATGAGTTCATGTGTAAATAACGACAACCTTAATTACTTGTTAGTGCATGTTGGTAATTAATGTATTAATTAACATTTAAGTTTGAGCTAAATGTAACCAACATGAACCCATGAGTTGTTAATGTATGGTTATACCATGACTTTACTTGAAAGGGCACATCACTATTAACTCATCCTTAACTACTCATGAACTCCTATTCATGTTGATAGAACGCTTTTCTATTGTTATTCAGGGGAAACTCGCCAGTTGGACGTGCATAAGGAGTTCATGAGTAGTTAAGAATGGATTAATGATGATGGCCCCTCCAAGTAAAGTCACAACATAATTATACAATAACATATCATGAGTTCATTATGGTTAAATTAAGCATAAACTAATGTGGTAATTAATACATTAATTAACAAACAATCATGTACTAACAAGTAATTAAGGTAGCCGTCATTCACACATGAACTCATGTGACTCATGTTGTAGTTAAAGTTAATTCATGATTAGTGCATACTTTAACTCATCATTAATTCATAATAAATAATGTTTAGTTTACATATTAATACGTCATTATTCATGTACTTTTATTGTAAAGTGTTACCATAAAATTATATACATTTGTCCATACAATGAAAATCCTTGAGGTCCAAAACATGTTGATTTAAAATTTGATTTGATAATACTGATTTGTCTCCCATTAACTTTAAATGTATGCATGAAACAGCAAAGAGAACTGAAAGTTATAAATTCATGCAAAAATCAACACTGCCCCTATCCAAAAACATTCTTTTCCTCACCCTGAACATAGCTCCAGTCAGTTTGCAAAGTGGTGTGCCAAAGATCCACTCCTTCACCGCCTCTACAGCCCAGAAGGGCAGTGTTAACAGCAGCAAAATATCTGCCAGGCTCAGGTGGAGGATGAAGATGTCTGTAACATTCAAACCTGCTCTCTTCTTCCACAGTACAATCAGAACCAAGCCGTTTCCCAGCAGCCCCACGACCGCTGCCAGTGAGTAAAGGATTGGCTTAAAAATGCTGTCAAAGTACATGCTGGAGTCTTGAGTGCACACAGCTCCTGCGCCATAGCTTTCATTGTCATTGTAGTCACTGTAATTGTAAAGGTCTGTGTAGTCACTGAAATCCTTCATACTGAATGTTGTTTTTGAGTCAACATTCATTTTCTGGGGAAAAGAAAAGAATCATCATCCATTTTATTAACAGTATATATATTTTTTTTCCTCTATGCAATCATTTCTTGTAAATGCAGTATCAGTTTAGTCTTTTACTTTAATTTGTAGTTTTAGTACAATGAAGACAAATTAAAGCGTTTTTGCTGGACTAACACACATGACCAGAAGGGGGCAAAAATTAGATGAGACGTGACTGCAGGTATTCAAGCTTTAAAGTGACTTCTATAAATATATTATTATTTTCTCAGCATTTTATAGTTCAAACCTTTTTTCAAATATTTTTTCTTTTGTTTTGTTTTATAAACTTCATGCGCATTATATAAAGTGTATAAAAAATCTTTGAAAAAAGGTTTAAACTATAAAATGCTGAGAAAATAATGATATATTTATAAAAGTCAGTAGGTTCCAATGTTTTTTTGATGAAGCAAAACAGTGTAAACGTCCATCAAAATATCCTATTTCATGTTGAACAATATTTTTTGTTGATTTCATTTTTACTTGTTTCATTATGAAAATGATGTATTACATTGCTGCGTATTTTAGTGATCAACCAAACCCCTTTTCAATTATACAGTTTGATTCTAGAGTGAAATATGTGATTTTATTAGTGCAGCTATTTATCAGCTTTGGCACAAAATCAATTGATTCACATTCATAGAATCACTCAATTGAACAAACAAGCGAAAATGTAAAACCACACTGGCCACAAAAGAAAATCCATCACAAAGAGCATTCGTCATACAGCAATCAAGCTTTAAATCTGCTGTGATCTTTGTTTCTGTTGCTAAGATGGCAGTATTTCAGTGGACATTCCTGGTAAAGGTACCGTTTCATTGAAAATGAGCCTAGCACCTCTAAGTGTTATGAACCCTACTCATTATGGGAAATCATGTTGATTAAAATAATGTTCAGTGATTGAAACCTGAAAGTTATGGAGGGGATCTCTGTCACCCCCTGGTATTTCCCTTCAACAAAAGTATCTACTTGTTCTGGTAAAATGCATCTAACATTTTAAAACTTTAAAATCATAATTAAAAGTTTTTTTTCAATACAATCTTAGCACAACAGAATCCGCAAAATCCCCTAAACTTCTTAACACAAAATAAAACCTTTAACGATAATCTTTAAACATAAAATACAAAAGTTAAACATTCATTTGAACATTGTTGAACAGTCAAATGTTATGAAAGAATGTATATAAAGGGTTTTAGGATAGTAAGGGGACGAGGAACAAGAAAAAGAGACAACATACCTTTGTAAGTGATCACGCAGAGGTTGAGAGGTGCTAAAATGATTGGCACATTGAGAGCTAGTCATTAATAAACCTAAAGGTCACAGCATGCAGATGTGCAAAAGAGAGAAAGGAGGAGGAGACAGTGGCAGGGAGCACCAGGGTTCAAAAAAGAGGAAATATGATAACGATCAGTTGTCTGTCATTCACAGTTCTATTTTAAATCATTTTGATTTCTCAATGAAATGTGATGCTCTGTGAAACAGAAATATGATGCAGATTACAGAATGAAACCACTTTTGCTCATGGGTTGTGGTTTATCTAATTTAAACAATTTTGTTGATAAAAAGAAAGAGATTGTAGAGGCAGTTCTGTTTTCTAATTGATGTTATCCAGTCCTGAAGAGTGTCTGCCATTCACAAGTCTATTTTCAACATTTCACTGTTTTTACTATTTTCAACATTTTCATTTTAATAAAGTCACACCAACTTTGTTATGTATTGCCTGTTTTTGTAATATAATATAGTGCTTTCATATCACAAATATTTCAAATGCGTTTATCTTCCATCAGTATGGCTTAGAAATTCTCCATTTTAGACAAAGAATTGCTGCAAAGTCAAACCTTTCAGTTCCATTTACTTGTCTCATCCTTATGACGCTCCTTCAACGGGATGTTTTTTTTCACACCTTTGCACCACGTCCTGTTCTATACTTTTCTCGTCATCTTCACTTGCACACATTGCTGCTCACAAATACTTTAGTGCTTTTTGTTGTCTGGTTTTGGTTTTCTATCTCATGTGCAGAGATTTTATTATAGTGTCAGGTTGTGCCTTACTGTTAGACACCAGCTGAAAGCTGCATGAAAATGTTTGAAAGAATAGAGAATAGAAATCTTTGAAGCAAAAGAAAGAGGAACTGGGAATCTTTATAGCTTTAGCTAAAATTGTGCTAAGTTAACATAAACACTGGTAACCTTAAACTAAAAATGAAATTCACATGCTCCAGTGACTAACATGTCAAACATTTCTGAAACCGCACCTTACGTCAGGTCAGGCAGCAACACTAGTCTATTTTTGCTTTTAATTTTTGCAAGCAACACAAACTAAAAACATCTCACTGGACAAAGTAAGGCAAAAGCACAAGCACTTTTGTTAAAGACTGTAAACTCAACTTGTGCTGTAGTCAACTTGTTAAAGGATTCAGTCGCCCAGACAATTTTTTTAACTGGATGAATCAACATTTAGAATGAATATCTTGAACACAATTAAAGGAACCACTCATTTGTTTGATCACTTGATAAATAAGTGATATTATACAAACTGGTGGTGGATAAGGAGATAAGGGGACACTCAAAGTCTAAAGCACTTCCAGAAAAGCGCTATATAAATGTAAGGAATTATTATTATTATTATTACTCTTAGAACAGGATCAGGGGTGCACATGAACGACTCCTCTTGCAGTGACTGTGTATCTATTGACATACTTTAAGGAATAAATCTGTAATCTTTATTTTACTTATTTACAAATCAAGCAAAGTATTTTACTTGCTAAAATCATAGCTCAGATACTTAGTACAGCCACAATTTGAATTGGTATTAAAACCTTTAGCCAACAAAGATATCTAAGCAAAAGTAAACCAATAAAGTACTGATATCTGAACCGGGAAAAGGCTGCTGCTTCAGCAGCTTTGAAGAACTAATAATAACAAACAATGATAATGTAATCAGATTGAACATATGGAGAATGCTCCGGTTACAAAAATAACCCATGTTTCCGGATGAGGGAACGTCCCAATTACGAACGTAACCCACATTCCTCGAAGAAGGAATGGAGATGTGTGTCAACTGAAGGAAAGCTACAGTTGAAGTCAGAATTATTAGCCCCCTGAATTGTTAGCCCGTCTGTTTATTTTATTTCCCCAATTTCTGTTTAATGGAGATTTTTTTTTCAACACATTTCTATACTCATTTCTAATAACTGATTTATTTTATCTTTGCCATGATGACAGTAATATTTGACTAGATATTTTTCAAGACACTTCTATACAGCTTAAAGTGACATTTAAAGGCTTAACTAGGTTAATTAGGTTAACTAGGCAAGTTAAGGTAATTAGACAATTTATTGTATAATGATGGATTGTTGGACTGTAGACTATTGAAAAAATATAGGCCCATAGCTTAAAGGGACTAAAAATTAAAATGTTTTTTTTTTTTTTAACTGCTTTTATTCTAGCCGAAATAAAACAAATAAGACTTTCTCCAGAAGGAACTTCAACTGCACATGATAGTGTTAACCAAACACCCATATTTTGATTCATATTGACACTGATATATCTGACATGGTTCTTCATATATTTATACACAGACACGTCTTTGTCCTGTCTGACAGTGTATTTGAGAGAATTTCACAGGATAATGGGTATTGACCATAATTTCTATAATTTCTGCAAATGTTGTGAGCTCTTACTAACCATCACACGAGAACAGTCATGTAGTGTAGTCTAAGGGCCTACTCATACTATGCTATCCGTACCATGCCCAGACCCATTTCCCGGACCGTTTGAGAAGTGTGAGTGCGTTGAATTGGGCTCAGGCACAATTGGAAGAGGTGTGCCCGAGCGCGGTCCACTTGGGCGTGGTGAGTGCAAAACGTGCCAAAGCCCGAAATTAAAAGAGAGACGTGACTTTTAAGGGACTGTTTTATATGTGTTTATTAATCATTCTTACTGTTCATTGAACGCAAACTGTCGTAGTTTGTTAAATAGGCAAACCCCTTATTGCACGATAGCTGTGCACCTTCAGCAAACCTCCTAATACCTGCAACACGAGGACTTTATGACTGTTTATGAGTGTCAAAAGTGGCTGATTTGTTCGGCGAAATATCTGACTGCGAGTCACCGCATCCCTAAGAACTAAAGCGATATAACTAGAGAAATCTCCACTGTGCAGAGCGAGAGCGCTTACTGAACAGCGCAGCATCGATGACTGAGTGTGGCCAGGCCCAATTGTAATGTCAGTGCGGGCCTTCAGGGGAGACGGGAGGGGGGACAAGCAACTGTACATAGTGCGAGTACGCCCTAACTTGTAGCCCGATTCACACTTCAGCATCAACGCTTGGCAGAGGGTATGTCTGAATGGGGCTGACTCGATCATCATAGCAGCTTTACCCAATGAAATTAGTCAGTAATCGGCTACTGTCTGAGCTGGTGTATTTACATACAGCGAACTGATTGGCTGACGCTTTGGTTAGCACTCAGTTTGCTCACAGCTAAAACTAAAACTCCTGTTAAAACAACCCAAAACACCCAAACATTTTTCATAAAATTATCCTGTTGTGCTTGTGTGCTGTTTTTCAAATGAACACATATTTCAAAAAGCCTTCTCTCTGTTTGAGGTAAACACCAGAAAAGAGCTGCCAAATTTCCATTAGCATCAAAACTTACACACACGTGCAAACAGCCATTTAAAAACAAAAAAAAAAACACACATTTTTGACCTAATTAAAGCAGTTTTACTGCTCCACTTCACCTGTTTTCAACAGATCAACATTCAGCTAACGTCTTAGAAGAACTGTTGAGGCTATTATCAATAAATTCTTATTTTTCTGCTGCTGTGCAGTTTTTATGAGCCATTTTATAAAAGCAATCTGAGAAGTCCTGAAGTCCTGAGAAGTTGTTTGAAGTGAACAGTAAACTACAGATCTTCCTATGTCCTAAAATCTCTACCCAGCCCAAAACGAACTAAATTATTTCATATTCAACAATAAGCAACAGATTGGAAAATTGAGCATGGCAGCTCAAGGAAAAAGGCTATTCATTGATTCATTGATTCATTCATTCTCTTTTCAGCTTAGTCCCTTTATTATTCTGGGATCCTCACATGTTGAGTTTTGTGTTCTCATTAATCCTATAGGTTTATGTTTTGTTATGTATTTTGTTTATTTATTTCTTGGATTATACTACTTACTGCTGTATGCCAAAAATGCGCAAGAGTTCATTGTGCGCAAGTGTAAACAAACAGGACTTTTATTTTGACTCCGGTTGTGAATGTTGAACTTACTTCCGAGTACTTTTATGTGATTTCCTTCCTCTTCGCGGCACTGATGTTTTTTTTTGCCGGTGCGTTGTAGTGAAAGCGAGCAAATAAATAATATTGAGAAGTTGAATCTGGATTGTTCTTTCATGGATGGATGACAACAACATATTGCACATAGAGATGACAGATAGAAATGAAAACCCTACAGGGTATGGGCCCAGGCGCGCCAGTGCTACAGGAGGAAGATGGCAGAGGCTAGTTTTCGACGGAGACGAAAACAACTACGAACTATGGGAAGTAAAATTTCTTGGACATTTGAGAATAATGGGTTTAAAAGAAACCATACTGTCTACCGGGGATATAGACGAGAAGACAAACGAGGAGTGCTACGCTAAATTAATTCAATTTCTCGATGATAAAAGTTTGTCACTGGTGATGCGGGAGGCGACTGATGATGGCAGGAAAGCTCTGCAAATACTTCGAAATCACTACGCTAGTCAAGGTAAACCTAGAATTATCACCCTATACACTGAACTAACTTCGTTAAAGAAGGAATCTGACGAGACGTTAACAGACTACATTATCCGAGCTGAGAAAGCGGTGACTTCGCTAAGAAACGCAAAAGAAGTAATAAGTGACGGTCTGATAATAGCTATGATCCTAAAGGGACTACCAGATTCTTACAAACCTTTCGCTATTCATACTACACAGAGTAGTGAAGAGTTGACTTTTATCCAGTTCAAAAGCAAACTAAGAAGCTATGAAGAGACAGAAAAATTTGATGATAAACCCAAATCTGACAATGTGATGAAAGTACACATAGCATCCGTGACCTGCTACGGATGTGGAAATCGCGGTCATATAGCGCGCGATTGCCGCCAAAAAGGCGTACCAAAGTGGTGCAACTACCATAGAAGTTCAACACACAGTGATGAGACATGCCGCCGGAGAAAAGATGGTCACAAAGATGAAGCAAAACAGGCTGCAGACAAACAAGAGGAGCATGAGAAAGAACAAACATTTGTG